AAATTCTTTTCTATCAAAGCAATTTTACTTTGGGGCTTTTCCCCTTGTATCTTTTTGGTGTCATGCAATTTCATTTTTTTTTTCAGGAAACGACAATTTGTATTAAAATAACAACCCCGACTTAGCAATTAACTAGCGAGGGAAAGGTGAATAGAACAGGAAAACAAACAAAATGTAAAGACAACTACAAGAAATGAGATACAATGATATTAAGAGTGAAATGGAGAAGAAATCCAATCTTTCCATTCGCATAATCCACCTTTTCCCCTGCATTTTGTCCAAAAGAAAACCGATGACTTGATTGCCCCTGAACTATTTGTTGGATTAAGGAAGACCCTTTTGAACACTCTATCGTTTCGATATTTCCACAACTTCCAGATTAATCCATGGTGATGAATCTCTTCCTTTTTATGAGGCTACAACCTCAATTTGCTGCTAGATCCTCCATAGATGAGAAATTCTCCTGTTGAATACCACACCATGTGAATATTTGTTTCATGACCTTGCAGGAAAAAGGGCACGAAATGAGAATGTGGTCCAAACATTCGGTACCGTTAATTCAAGCACTACAATTCTCGTGTTCAATGTCAATCCCCCTAACTCTTAAGGTCACCGCATATGGTATCTTCTTTTGTAGGGCTCGCCTTATAAAACAATTAACTTTGACTTGGGATACCTTATTCCATCTAAAGCTCGATGGTGAGCGATTAGGGTATAGGAGCTGATCAAGTTTCCTTCTTAACGTACATACAATGAAAGCACCACTAGTATCAATTGCACCACTAATAATTCTCCTTTGAGATTGACAATGTTGCTTGATTCACTTTCATCTTCCACTAAAGATTTCCAATGCCCCTCAAAGTTTCCATCTACAATTCTTTCAACCATAGTGTATTTCTTCCTAGTTTCGAGTTCTAAGTAAGAGATGGATATTTTTAGCCAAGTGTTATTGGTCCTAACCATTTGTTATGCTAGCATAGGGTGTTCTCGCCTGATTTTACCAAGTCCAAATTTCTTGATTTCTTTTTTGCAATTTGCAATATTGTTCTACACTCCCCTGATTTTCTTGTTTAACAAATAATCATGAAGTTTATTGGTTAGGTTATGGATTCCTCTTATGACAAATAATCATGAGGTTTTTTGCACTTTGTCCCAAGACACCTAATGGATTTTCTTAATGCTTTCGTCACCGCCCCATAGGCATCTTCATCTAATTTGTTTTAGTTTTTCCATTACAGCCACCAGTGCTTTAAAGTGGGAAAGGAAGCAGGTAGGGAGGTTCCCTAATACCGAGGTGATTTGTTCTGCCATCAAATGAGAGTGTTTTTGATCTCCAGGTGGAGTGCTTGGAGTTGAATTTGTCTATATGATTGGTTTCCAGCTTTTTATAAGATTCATATTTGCACCAACTGGGACTCTAGGTAGTTAAATGGAAGTGAACCCGCTTCACACCCAAGGATGTTGGCCTAATTCTTAGTCTCTTAAGTGAAGCCTCGATTCCGAAAACCTTTGATTTGTGAAAATTTACTTTAAGATATGATGAGGCATTGAAGCAATTTAAATGATGGCAAAGCTTTTATGACTATTCTCCCACAAATAAGGCATCATCTGCGTAGAACAGGTGTGATAGGGTTGAACCGTGATTCAGGATTTGGATGCCATTGAAAATTCCTTTATCCCTCGCTGCCTTCATAGCTAAATTAAAGCCTTCCATGGCTATAATAAAGAGGAAGGATTAATAAGTATCGAGGCTCGAGATGACTTGAGGCATATACGTACCCATTGTCTCCATTTACTTTAAAATCTCATTTGTGAGAGCATTGAGTCGAGGTATTCCTAGTTGATAGAGTTGAATGTTTTGTCAAAGTCAACCCTAAACATCAATATCTGCTTTTGGACTTTGACCATGAAAGGAGCCCGTTTATCACTAATGGACCGTCAAGTATGCTACTACCTTCCACATAAGCTGATTGACATCTCCAATAAGGTCCCCAATAACATATTTGATTCGGATGGCTAAGATTTTTTATATGATTTTATACATGCATCCAATAAGGCTAATAGGACGGTAATTGATGAGGTTGGTTGGATCTTTAACCTTAGGAACAAGGGACATGAACGATGAATTGCAACCTCTTGCAAAAGTCCCAAATTTATCGAAATGTAAAAACAAAGTTCATCATATCGCCTTTAATTATCTACCGGTAAGTATTTAAGAATTTGAAAGTTACGCATCGGGACCTGGTGCCTTTTCGCTTCCACAAGCCCATACCACATCCTTTAGCTCCTTATAACTAAATGGAGCTTCAAGTTTGATCGCGTGCATCATGGATAGGGATTTTGAAGTAGGGACCGAGTAGTTTGGGTCTCGAAGTCCTGGTCTTGGTGAACTTGTTTTTGAAAAAGTGAAGAGCCGCTAACTTGACTTCGGAGGCATCTGTGCTCCATTTCCCATTTATTGATAGCCTGTTGATTCTATTCTTCTTATTCTTAATGTTGATGTATTTGTGAATTTTTTTTTTTTTTGAAAATTTATCTCCTTCTACATTCCATTTCACCTTGGCCTTTTGTTTCAAGCAAGCACAACTAGTTTTTCTAATTCTAGTAATTTTTGTAGGACAAGGTTCCTAGTTTCTTGTTCAAGATCGGTTAATGGTCTTCACTCTGCTACCTTTTCGATTAATGCAACCTTTGATTTGATTTTGAGTAACTCGTGATTAGTCTCCTCATCAGATTTGATGATTAGTTTTAAAGGTGGAGGGCTATAATCTAATTTTTGCAGCAAGATACACATTTGGATTGCCATATCCTCGAAAATCCTCCCATGCTTTCTTTACGGTGTCATCAAAACCATATTTTTGTAACCACGAGTTGACTAGTTTGAAACAAGGTTGTTAAGATCGAGATCCTATGTATGATCGTTTTTGGGTTTACAAGATCGAGATCGTAAGATCGGGATCGAGATCCTAAGATCCTACAAAATAAAATATACTTTTAATTTATAATTTTTAATCATGAAAAATATTTCAAACATTCAATTTTTCGTTCAAAAGTTATAAAAACTTCAAAATATTAGTCATAAGTCAAAACACACAATGATAAACAGTAAATTAGGAAATAAGATTAAATAAATATCAAACACAAAGTGTAATCATATACAAACTAAATTTCAATATTAAGAGAATATATTTACTTCTACTTATGAAGTTATGTTTTTTAACTTTTAACATATTATACTTAATTTATTAGTTTTAATATATTGTTGGGTGTAAACCATTATCATTTTAAATTTACAACTTTTAAACAATTTGTACAAAATACTTAAATTATAAATTTAAATATAACATTACAAGATCAACTTAAATATAAATTTTATTTGAACCTAAATAACCCAAATAATATTTTGTAAATAGTTAAAACTAATAAATTGTAGTGTCTTTCTAATAATGATTGTAAGTTGGTTAATAAGATTAAATAAATATCAAACCTAAAGTGTAATCATAAATAAACTAAATTTCAATATTTAAATAACATTTTTACTTCTACTTATAAAGTTATGTCTTTAATTTTTAACAAATTATACTTAATTTATTAGATTAAGATGGTGTTATATGTAAACCATTATCAATTTAAAACTACAACTTTTGAATAGATTGGACAATATACTTAAATTGGTAATTTATAATATAACATTACAGTGTCAACTTAAATATAAATTTCAGTTCCACTTAAAAAACCCAATGAATATTTTGTGAATACTTAAAAGTGATAAATTATAGTGCTAAATGCAAAAAGTGAACTATAATCTCAATTTAACTAAAATATTCCCTAAAGATATTTGTATAATCGTTAAAAGTTTTTAAATGAGTAGCTTAAAGTAACTTACAATAACAATAGTTAAATATAATTCTATAAAAATGATTATATCGTTACCTTTAAAATCAAAAAATAATGTTTGATATTTTAAATAATTATAAAGATAGAAATTAAAACGTTAAACAGATAAATTTTAAAAAATTAATTGAAAATAACAACAACTATAAATAACATTAAACCATATATTATATTTAATTTTATTCATGGTAAAAATCATTCAAACAGTTGAGATTATGCAGTTATAATAGATGTATATATTATCATATAATTCAAAATAATTAATATATTATATCAATTTAATATACTGCTTATTATATCAAATTTAACGTTATTGTTATATTTAAAAAAACATATATTTGTAAAAATTTCAATTATATAGATATTTAAACGCAACGCACAAACAACGAACATTTATAACAATAATATGTTCAAATCATAGCACCACCATGTGCCACGTCATCACATCCTACCAAAAGCATGATTTTTCCAACACCCTTCCAATGTAGGACTACTCTTTCCACACGCCCTCCATGTATAGACTCTTTCTCCAATCTCTTTCCCAATTTACCCTTACTAACTTCTAGCACCCCCCCCCCCCCCCCACCAAGGACAACTGAGTCATTTTGCATAACCACCTTCAAATTTTATTCCTTAAATCCCGATAACCAATTAACCATCCTCTAAACCCTCTTATAAATCTCCCTCACACAGTCACACGTATCATGCATCACTCATCATCAACAACAAAATCTCAATCTCATCTATGGCAAAACTCCAATACTTCCTCATCCTCTCTCTCCTCCTGCTCTCCACCTTCTCAACACTATCTCACGGTGGTAACTCCACCACCGGACCACCCAACACCATCCCTGAAGAATGCCGGAAGGCCACCGGCAGACCATGCCACAGCAAAACCAGATCTTTAAAGCTTAAAGTCATCGCCATTGCCGCAATTCTAGTGGCCAGTATGATGGGTGTGACCCTACCAATGATTTCCCGGGCCATATCCGCTTTACAACCCGACAAGAAACTTTCGTATTGGTTAAAGCCTTTGCTTCGGGAGTGATTCTCGCAACTGGATACATGCACGTCTTACCCGATTCGTTTGATTGCTTGACATCCGAATGCTTGCCCGAATACCCGAATACCCATGGAGAAAGTTCCCATTCACAACGTTCATTGCAATGCTGTCAGCTGTATTCACGTTAATGGTGGATTCGTATGCAATGAGTTGTTACAAAAAGTATCACGAGAAAACAAAGGAGAACTTGGAAATGAAGATCTCCGGTGATCATTTCCATGGCGATGGATCATCTGAGCTTGATTCTCCGGCGTCACAGTTGGGGAGATACAGGGTGGTTGCTCAGGTACATTTCACACCGGAATATTCCTTAATTTACCAAAATTTACAATATTAATTAATGTTACAACTTATTGTAGGTGTTAGAGTTAGGAATAGTTGTACACTCAGTTGTGATCGGACTATCCATGGGTGCATCGGATAATTTATGAACCATAAGACCTTTAGTGGCTGCGCTATGCTTCCATCAGTTCTTTGAAGGAATGGGTCTCGGTGGTTGTATTCTTCAGGTGAATGGTGTGCATGGCTTTTATTTAATTTAAAATTTAAACAAAAATCAAAATCTTTGATTTATTTGTTTTATATAATGAGAGTAGGCGGAGTATGAGATGAAGATGAAGGCAATGATGGTGTTTTTCTTCTCGGCGACGACTCCATTTGGGATAGCAAGTGGAATTGGGTTGTCGAATGTGTATCGTGAAAATAGTCCGGCAGCCCTGATGGTGGTCGGAATACTAGATGCAGTGTCGGCAGGGCTGTTGAATTATATGGCTTTGGTGGATCTGTTGGCGGCGGATTTCATGGGGAAAAAGCTTCAAGAAGATATGAAGCTTCAAGCAATTTCTTTTGTTGCAGTTTTTCTTGGTGCTGGAGGCATGTCGGTGATGGCAATTTGGGCATAAATATTTTTGCATTTCTTTAATTTGTTTGTTTTTAAGATTTTTAGGTTAGGGATGTGTACCTAGCTAGGGGATTATTAACGTATTCATTTCAAAAAAAATTTTTGATTAAATTTAGGGGTGGAAATTATTTGGTTCGGATCCGAAAAACCCGAAAACCAAATCGATTCGAAATGGATTTTAAACCGAATCATATTTAAATTTGGTTTTTGGTTTGGTTTGAGACCAAACTGAATTGTAAGTTTAGTTTTTGGTTCGAGTTTCAGTCTCATTAAATTTAAACCAAATCGAACCAAAAAAATGAATTTTATAAATCAATTAATTAAAAATATATTTTATATTTTATATTAAATAAAAATATTAATTATAAAGTAAAAACCATTATTAACCGGTTTACTCATTGGATCATATTGTATAAAACTTTAGATCTTTATGTTTGCAATTTTAGGTTTCTATTTTAAAAACATTTTAATTTATATTTGAAAATTTTTTAAGTTAATATTTGGTTTCCTCAGTTTTCAAACCGAACCAAACCGAATTAGAATTCGGTTTTCGGTTTGGTCTAGAAAATTTGAATTCGATTTGGTTTGGTTTTCGAATTTGACAAAAAAATTCAAACCAAGAAAACCGATTTGAGAAAATCGAAAAACCAAAAAATCGAACCGATTCCCACCCCTAATTAAATCTATTATTTTGCCCTTTATATTGAAAATGATGACACAAAAAAAGTCTAATTCGGTCGTTTACATATAGACAGGATTTTGATGAACGCTAAAATAAATGAGAAATTTTTATAAAATTCTTAATATTTTGGAAAAATTAACAATAAAGTCTCCAACAATTTTCTTTTAAACAGAAAAGTCACAATCATTTGATTTCACATAATAATATATCATTTCCTGTTAAAAGAAAAATAAAAAATTTTTCGTTAATTTGATCAAAATATTAAAATTATCGGGATTTTGTGTTTTAATTTTTTCTTTTGAATGTAATCATTAAATTCTTTTTTCAAAATTTTGTGCTTTTTTGTGAAGATTACCAATACTTAAATACTCAAAATACAATATATTTTGTATTTTTTTTTTCATAATTTTATATTTGTTAAGAGATAATATCCAATGGTAGTTTAATGGGAAGCTAATCTCATTAAGCGCAAAATCTCTATTTGTGGGTTAATGATATGACATTCAATAGAATGAGGAGTTCAATCCTCAATCAACTCTACTCTCTTTTTTCACACACACACATAAATGATGTGACAATCTATTATTAAATTGTATAAAGTTTAATGGAGTGTAACGAATATGTAAAATTGTATAGTAAGTGGAATGCACACATGTCAATCTATTCAACTTATATGAGTTCAATAGCTATTGAAGAATAATTAAATGCATATGACTGTTTTATCTTTTTTTTTTTTTTTTTTTTTTTTTTTTTTTTTTTTTTTGACTTTTTAGCATTTTTCTTTGACTTTTATATATAAAAGAGTTGGTTCGTATTAAAATTCCATATAAAACCATATTTGTAATGTTTTTATTTTAAAATCAACAACCAAAGAAGCTTTATATATTTCCACTAGAAAAAACTTCCCATAAATGTTTGCTTCTTTATTTTAAAATACAAAAATAAAAAATAAAATAAAAAGTTTTAGATAAGTTGTTTGCAGCGACACAACAGAAAAGTCTTAATTCTGATTAACTAATTATAAATGAATTCTTTCCAAAAATAAATAAATAAATCCTCAGTAAGGTCTATATGGAGTAAAGTTATTCAGCCATACCTTCACATTGGTGCTGGCTAACGGAATCCGTCCATACCTCACAGTTGACTAACAGTTTGACTCACAGAGTTATTCAGTTTCATACCTTCATATTTAACTCAAACTCAGCACACACACTAATCAGTCATCATGACGAACACTTTCCTCCATTACCAATCAATCGCCGAGAAATTCCTCCTCTCCTCCACTAAATTCTGGTCAACTATCTCCACCGTCGCCGCCATCGCCGGCCTCTCATCCTTCTTCTACTCGACTCATGAGCAATACACAAACAGTTTCAACAATTCCGGCAGATACATTTGCGCCTTCATCGTCATCGCCCTCCACTTCCTCATCTTCTTTTCTGATCCCCGAAAGCTCAAAGTCGCAATCGCCCCATTTTTTCCCGGATCCGCTATGAAATGGACCCTGCGATTCACGGCTATGAGAGTCATTTACGTTTTCCTTTATGTCCCCGAAAAATCGGTTGTTGTGTTGATATTCTCGATTTGTGTTTGGATTGACATTATCGCAATCACTCGGATCATTAAACCCTCGATTGATTTATGGGTTACAAATTCGGTGTTTATTGCGGTTGTTAGTCGAAGCATTGATCTATACGGGTTCACGGCTCATCACTGGTTGATCATGTTGTTATGTTATCCGGTGATGTTTGTGCAATTTGGGCTAGAGGGTTACAAGGATGAAGAAACAAAGGAGAAAGAGGGATGAAATTGTTATATAGGGTTCATGTTCCTTGGATTTTTGTAGGAATTTGTAGACTCTTAACACTTTTCAATCAAGGAAATGTTTTCATGTTTGGTATGGGAATTATAAATACTGTATTTGCAAAAATACAAAAGAACCATATCTATCTATCATTGTTTATTTATACTTTCTCATGATTTTGACCAAAAGCTAATCCAAAGGTGACCAAATGATAAAAGAGTTTGACATTTTGACTTTGGATTTCTCCTTTAATGTAGGTGTTTTAAAATAGAATCAATGTCGGAGAATCGGTGGGTTTTCAAGTAGGTAATCATTCCGACCAAATTAGACAGCTGATTAAAGCTCGTGGCGTGACTATCATTGAACAATGAATATCTTCTCCAACAATGTTCGTGGAATCGGGTGTGAGGTCAAACGGGGCTGGCTTAGAGATTGCCGCATTAAATACCACTTTTTTTTTTTATGGGGCTTCAGGAAACTAAATCCAGGGACATAATAAATAACCTAGATAGGCAAATATGGGGCTCTCCAAATTTCAAATGTGAGGTAATTGATCCAGATGGGCTCTCGGGTGGTATTGCCTCATTTTGGGACCCATCTCTATTTCAGGCCTCTGAAGCAATTAAAGGTGAAGGCTTTCTTGCAATTAAAGGTGTTTGGCTGGGATTGAAGAAGTCTTGCTGTTTTGTTAATGTGTATGCTCCCCAGGAGCCTATAAGGAAAAGATCTTTGTGGAATAACCTGGTCGGGTTGGTAAACTCAGATTCGGATGCTTGCTGGTTCATCTTTGGAGATTTTAATGTTGTCAGACTACCGGAGGAAAGGCTGGGTTCCATGTTCTGCCAAAGTAGTGCCTATTACTTCAACGATTTTATTCATACTCTAGGTCTATTAGAAATTAAAATGGGGGGGGGGGGGGGGGGGGGCGCAGATTCACGTATATGAACTCTGCTGGTGACAAGCACAACAAGCTGGACAGATTTCTTGTTTCCTTAAATACCTTAAATTTCTGGCCGAATTTAAATGTCACTGCCTTGCCTAGAGTACATTCAGATCATTGTGCAATACTCCTTACAGCTTCTCAGTTAGATTTCGGCCCCACTCCATTCAGGTTCTATAACTCATGGCTCGAGGATCCGGATTTTGTGAAAATTTTAAGTAATGGCTGGTCAGTCAGTAATTGCCCCAGACGTCAGCTATATCTATCCCCTCTTTCCCTGGTGGCAAATAAATTAAAGAACCTAAAGGAGCATATCAAAATTTGGAGGAAGGAGGTGATAGGGAGATCGAAAAAGGAAGTGGATGAGCTTACAACCCAAATAAATGACATCGATCTTTTGGCTGAGAAGGGGATGATAAACAATGAAATGCTCAAAGCCCGTCAGAACGCTCATCAAAAAATCATGGAAATCGAGTCCGGGCGCATAGAGGATCTGAAGCAAAAGTCTAGAGTTAAATGGGCTCTAGAAGGTGATGAAAATAGTGCTTTTTTTTCATGGACTAATTAACAAACATCAGAGATCCCAGCGTATAAATGGTATTAAGGAAAACGGTTTCTGGATCACTGATCCGGTAGACATCAAGGCGAGAGTTCTAAAACACTTTGCCGATAGATTTGCTGAACCTATTAAATCGCGCCCTAAGTTCATCAACTCCAATTTCAATAAATTGCCCCCCGGTGCTATTGAGTCCTTGGAAGACCCTTTCTCCATCGACGAGATCAAATCAACAATTTGGGCGTGCGGCTCAGATAGGCCCCCGGGCCTGATGGATTCTCATTCGCTTTTCTAAAGAAGCACTGGGAGGAAATTGGTAGTGATTTTTACCTAGCAGTCAAACATTTTGAAGCTTCAGGGCTTATTGATGAAGGATGCAACTCATCTTTTATCACTCTAATCCCAAAGGGTCCAGGACCCGATCACGTTAAACGACTTCCGACCTATCAACCTAATTGGATGTCTATACAAAACGATTGCAAAGGTCCTAGCTGAAAGGCTGAAAAGAGTGATCCATCATGTGGTAAGTAAAGAACAAACAGCTTTCATTAAAGATAGGAACATCCTAGATGGGCCTCTAATCCTCAATGAAGTTATTAGCTGGTTGAAGAAGAACAAAAAGAAAGCGTTCATCTTCAAAGTTGATTTTGAAAAAGCTTTTGATTGTATTAGTTGGGATTTCTTGGACTCAGTCATGCAACAAATGGATTTTGGGGATAAGTGGCGAGCCTGGATACGTGGATGTTTAGCTTCAGCAAGGATCTCGGTTCTTATTAATGGTGCAGCAACAAAGGAATTCAGAATGGAGCGGGGTGTGAGGCAAGGGGATCCGTTGTCCCCTTTTTTGTTTATTTTAGCAGCTGAAGGTCTCCATGTAGCTCTAGAATCGGCAAGAGAAAATGGTGTTTATAGTGGTATTCAGCTCCCTCGCGGTGGTCCATCAATCTCGCATCTACAGTATGCTGACGACGTGATTTTTTTGGGTTCATGGTCGCTGGAAAATACGAAAAATCTGATCA